CACTCCAAAAACGACTACCATCTGGACTATGTTGGGCGAACTCTCCCATTATTTTTTAGTGGTTACACAGGAGTAATCCAGTTGGGGGTTTTCTGAGGGTTCACTTAAAATAAGACAAATGCTCATAAGAATAAATGGCAGCGGACGGCAGTCATCATCATCATTGACAGCAGCACCTGGGGAGAACAGTAAACCCTTACTACCAGGCGGGTTCCTTTAAACAAAGCCTATGATTGGGAAGAAAAAAAGGCGTGAAAAGCGAGATCTGGGGCCCATCACACAATTCTGAGGTGCCCACACCTCCAGCACTCAGTCAGACAATCTGGGTAGAAACTGATAGCATGAACGCCGCTGACATCGGTTAGCCGTCACGTCGTTCAGTGTTTCTAGCCACGGGTAGGATCACGTGGACCCCATTCTAGAAAGCGAATAACAGACAGAACGAAAACTTTTCGTAACATCTCGTGTTCTTTTCTGCCATGTCAAGTTCTTTCTACCTCTAAGTTTTCGCCACTCTGAATTAAGCACGCACAACAATACTGTTCTCGGCAGGTGGACCAACTCGACGTGCGTGATACAAATGGCGGACGAATGTTGTGGTTTTTGAAACCTGAAGATTTTAAGGTTGGGATTTTAAGGTTTCCAACGCAACTTCCGTTGTTAACTTTCATGTATGACTTCTTTTGGTAGTTACTCTGCGTAATAATAGCTAACTTTCAGGAAATCTCATCATTGGAATCTTCTAGGTACTTTTGTAGTAACTTATCAGCGTCTTTGGGCACCCATGACCGATTGGACTAAACGTCTTCGTATGCTAGGTCATTGTTAACGAACATCCTTGAATTTTTCGCATTGTGTGTATTTTGGTGCACACAGAATTACCGTGTGCTTTGGTTTCGTTAGGTATCTTGTGTTGGTCAGTTTTGTGGACCGAACGATGCTGTTTGTGGCGCTTCCACGCTTGGGATGGTTCCCCAAATTGCAACCTTTCGTTGGTTCTATGTCGTTGATAGATTAGAGCCGGATGTATATTCCAAGGAGCCATAGGTCAGCTTCTGAACATAGAGAAGTGTGCAGAAATTTCGTTTGAAAGCACACTTGTCCCAAGACTTTGTTTCAATCGTATTTCGTATATTCCCATAGTAAACATTTTTCGCCTTCCCCGAGGGATGATAGTCTTGAGGTAACTATCGTTATCAGTCACTCCTCAATAAGACGTTGAAGTTTTCAGCCGGGGCATACGTACACTCACAGAGTATATTAGGAAGCCATACAGGCCGTCCTGTCACGGATAGCTAGGCACTTTTCTTCCAGAGATATTAATTCGAGGGTACCACCATATAAGGTAGCACTCTGCCAAATCATACGCTTGAGCTAGTTGGTTGCGTTTGCTGTTGTATGTTGTAATTTTCTGGCCGCTTAACCCAAGTGGGTGATTTGTTAACTGGGTTTATGTCCACCACTTTCGGTACTGATTTAACCACTAAGGTCACTTCAGAACAGTTGTGTGAACTCGGCTTTCAAAATGTTTGGTGATGATGGGATATGCAGCTGAGTTGTTAATGAATTAACCTGAAAGCTCACGGTCTTGTTTTTTTTAACAAAGCGTTCGGTTCGCCTGACTTCTGATGTATGTTAACAGATTCGGGTTTTTTATTACATAGGAAAAAACGTCTACCGGATTTTCCGTCCTTAAAACTCCCAAGTAGTGTAAATCCTTTGTGGAAACAAGCACAATTTACCCACCACATTGATCGGGACTAGAGATTTTGCTAATCCCCCCACAATTTAAAGTTTTCCAGTGTATCACTTTTCCCAGTTTTGTCCTCCGAAAGCTTTTTAAGTGACTTGTTTTTTACATTTTCATTGATGAGCGTGTGGCTAAGTCCTCAGTCGGCATTAGGCTTCCACGAGCTTCCCTTACTTGGGATGATTATCCCAACAGAACGTCTGAATTCGGGGTCAAAAGTGTATAAGGAATCACACCTGCTTTCTCTTACAACAGTTGAGAGGGAAGCCTCATTTCTTCCCACCTTTTTGGAACCTGGATTTTCAAATACCGTCAAACATGTCCGGTGTATGAATGTGTACATGGCTAAGAGAACAATGCTTGTTTCCAAATGCATGCTGTGCGCCCATTCGTCTTTTGCCCATGATGCTTCCGCGGTTGACATGATTCCTCGAAATTGAACCATTCACGGAACTGGTCGTCATTTTAGCCCGTCTTTATATCTCCTCAACTTTGAGTACTTTTTATGCTTACATCTGTGCACAGCCTGTTTATGTTCAAGTCAAGCCAGAATATTTGGGGTGTTGGGGTTGTGAAGTGCTCAGCGCTGAGGAGTTGGCGGTTGCGTGGCTTGGCTCCAGACTACGTGGTGATGCGGATATTTTACGGAGTGAGTTCTAGGTAATGCTACTTAATTTGTCAGTGAGTCGCTTAACTGTCTTGCTCAGACGGCACCACACGTGGATCCCTTGGAGGCCGTGAATTCCATTTGAAGACTTAAACATCCTCTTGGTTTTTTTTGTTAGAACCATTTTGCATATCCGTAACTAAGGTACCTTTACAATCTTTTCACATCTATATGGTTACTTGATATTATGCTTATTTATGACTCTAGAAGACAGTTTTTTTGACTCATCAGCTTTATCTAGGTTTCTAGATACCAGGATCTATTTTGCGCGATAACTTCGATAGAAGAATTGCTGTCAAAAACAGTTTTCTGATAGAATTAAAGATGCGGGAAGACACTTGAAATGTTCCATTCGGTTAGTATGCCACATAAGAAAGTATAATATCAGACAAGTAGTATTTTTGATGTGAAGCCAGTACAATCCCCCTCCGTCCCAGTTTGCTTGAATCGAATCGTACCAAACTTGATTTGTCGTTAATCGTCCATTGTTCGAACTGTTTGCATCATATGTATCATTCGACCTTAATCATATCACAACTTTTCTAGGAGCAATCTCTTTCGTTCTACTGCTTGTTGAAGCCGCTTCAGTAGGTTGGCCCAGACCAATATAAATTGGTGAAAATCCGATATGGAAACCATGTTTTGACGTTATTGTGTTAATGAACAAATGCAGATTTATTGAAACATTCTTTTCCTGGTTGGTATATGCTAGATATGGCAGGAGCTGAGTGGAGCATTTCAAGCCGAAGAAATTTCGGCTTCGATTTTATCTCAAACAGGCGTTGTTTCATTCATAAAAAGTATACGAATATGTACAAATCGCGAACTCTGAACTTCCGTCTACGTGGTTCTGCTCAGGGTTGTGTAATTTTTCAGAACGGCTTTAGAGGCCGTATAAATAAATAAGGCATAATATATGTGATGCCTTAGTAGTGCATCACAATTTAGTATGTAATCTTCCCGCATATAGTCTATATCTTTGGAGATAAAAAATATAGTGCGCCTTCCAAGTGGGACATTAGAAGAAAGACCTGTTCTTGATCCTTTCTTGGTTCGACCTCTGTTCAGCGAATCGCAAGCCAAATGGTGGTGCTGTTGTGAACTTTCATTTCGAGTACTCCTTCACAGAAGAGGTCTTTTTTTGAAGGGTTACTGGGTCACTGTGACCCCCTCCTGTGAGGATTATGTAACTCCACACTGTGCGTGACTGTCTTCGATGTTATTACGTTCAACTTCGTTGCGTTTTCTCTCGTTCCAAATGCTCTTTTCTACCGTTTACAGTTCGCGTACGGGCCGATAGCGGCGACGTCGTTTGGGCTGAATATCAGTCATTGCACGAACTTTTATCCGCAAATCCGGGCATAGAGTACGTAATGTTGCGATGAGTTTATCCGAATCGTTTCTTCTTACCTTTGCATTTGATGACTGTCTTCGATGTTATTACGTTCAACTTCGTTGCGTTTTCTCTCGTTCCAAATGCTCTTTTCTACCGTTTACAGTTCGCGTACGGGCCGATAGCGGCGACGTCGTTTGGGCTGAATATCAGTCATTGCACGAACTTTTATCCGCAAATCCGGGCATAGAGTACGTAATGTTGCGATGAGTTTATCCGAATCGTTTCTTCTTACCTTGTGTTTGCATTTGATATGTTGCTAAGCCTGTGTCTGATACTATGTGATTCTATCGTCCCAAGACCTTTGGTATTCTTGGCGAATTATTTGGACTATACCAGCTACGCTGTTTTAGATTGCGTAAGAACAGACAGTCGGTGCTCACCTGATGACATCTGCATTGTGCGGTCATACACTGTCCACCTCTCGGTCGCTTCCATTCAGCACAGAGCTGGACGAAAAGAACTCCGGCTTATGGAGTGCATGTCGTATGCAGCGTGAGTAATTCATCTATCGTAGGACAGTTCCTTTTTTCCTAGGACCATCTAACGTACCTTAACACTACTAATCAGATGTTCACACGAGATTCGACCAACGCTTCGGAGACGCCGATGGTCAAACACTGACATCTTTTGTATGTCCTCTGCGCGTGGAGGTCATGTCTGATCCATAATGCAGTGTAAACTCTGCCCTTGACAGACATACCGACTTTACATCGACGCAGCAGGTGTCGGAGGTTGGCAAAAACTCTCCCGGCTTTCTAAATTCGAGAAATAATCTCTTCTCGAGCCAGTCCACCGGAACTTATACATCTATCACATCGACTGTCTCGTCTGCAAGCATGGGATTTAGGTTTGGCCCTAACCAGTCTTGTAGCAGCACGTTACATTTTGAAGGTGTGAAGCGCATGCTAAACCGTGCGATAGAGTTATGTATTTAAAATGTTTCGCACTTTCGAAGGATCCAAACCTTGGAGAGCAATATCTTCCGCATACTCATTGTCTGTGAGGTAACGTCCCGGGAGCACTTTGATCCCACAGGTTTCGAAGACAGGCAGAGGAATTTCAAGCAGCACATCACTAAGAAAGCTGAAGAGGAAAGGTGAGAGAGGGTGGCCTCGTCTCACATCACTGGACGTGAGGCAAGAGCTTCCCGTATACTCCTATGCGTTCACAGGGGCTCGCATACAGTGCCATCATGAGGGTCAAAATCAGCTTTCAGATCAAGAAAAGCGACCGACGTGGGACATTTGAAGCGGTGGAGCTGTTAAAGAACTTGTCTCAAGGTAAAGATATGGTTGACGCATCATTGGTGAAGGCGAAACCCAGCTTGATTCCTACAAATCTTCAGACAATCAATCAACCTGCCCAAAATAATGCCAGAGAGCACTTTGGATACCACGGCTACTACGCTGATGCCACGATTTTTTCAAACGGTATTCTTTCACTCTTTTTGAAGACTGGGATGATGGTCGAGGCGATCCATTCCACTGGTATTCTGTCTTTTGGTTCCAACTCTTCTGTAGTGTGGTCGCCAACTGTTCAGC